AATACGCTGACTCTGTAAACCACTTAGAGAGGGCTGAAAGCCCTATGAAGCGGTATATAAGTCCAACTGCTGTTGCTATTGCTAAACATCATTTGACCCCATCGAGGTGAATGAGTCCCTGTGGGGCACGCCTGACATTGCTGCGAAAGCCTTGAACTGATGTGGGCTTACTCTAATTGTCAGGCATTACTTATTTTATTGCGGTCATCAACCAGCACATTTTTAACCATTCTGCTAAAATAAAATATGCTAATTTTAAGCTGGGATTATGAGTTAATAAAGTTAATAAAATCAACTATACCAATGTTCGAATGGCAATAGAAATTCAGAAAATAGAAAACCAAACAAAAAGGAAACAATCCAGTTTAGAAAGATCTACAAGAAACTCAAACGATAATAAAAATTAATGGATAGAAAAAAGAATTTGATGATGGATTTATTAAAAATCAAATGGAAGAACAAGAGCAGACATCGCTAAAATTGGGTGAAAAGGATTAAAAACAACATTTGGAAACCATCAATTACATGACTCAATTTTAGCTCAAATATCTGTCCAGCTGCCATCCCATTTTAGCCATGAACAAAGAGACATCGGTGCCTGATTTATAACTGGCAAAATGTATATGATTCAAAAGGACTCGGCAAAAGCAACAACAACAGGAGGAAACCATAGGCCGACAATACCTTTGCCTACAATATTTAAATTACAAGCATAAAAGTGGAGAAAACTTATTTAGAAGAAAGTAACATCCAGTAAAAGAAGAAAGTAAAAAGAAAAGCAGAGGAGCATAAAATCAAGTCCAGATTGATAACTGATTTTGGAGAATTGCAAAATGTGAAAATCCACTTTATATATGATCTGGATTGATTATAAAATGCATTTGATTCATTACCACATAGTTGGATTATCAAATACTGGGAAACAATTGGTGTCAGTAAAACATTAGGAAACATGAAGCAGTAGAAGACAAAATTGGTTGGAAATGAAAAGTACAGGCTTGTCAGCATTAGGAAAGGCTTCTTCCAGAGTGACTCATTATCACCCTTATTACTTGTGATTGCTGTGATCTCCCTTTGAAGGAAGGAAATCTTGGTTACCAAGCAAGAATAGCTGCTAATAAAACCTCACCTTTTCTTTATATGGATAATCTACAGTTTTATGGAAAATCGGAAATTTGAATCCAGTCATTAACAAGTAAACCATAAGGATTTTTAGCACAGATAAATCCATGGGATTTGGCTAGAGAGAGATGCAAGAGTAGCAATAAAGTTGGGGTAAAATCACGAACAGCAATCAGGAATCAAAATACCAAACAGACATATCCTTTGGAGTCATCAGGATGACGTCTACAAGTATCTGGATATTTTACTATTGAATATCATCAAGTGCAGACAAATTAAACGTGATTAGGATATCTAAAGAGTGATAAAAGTGTAAAAGCCAAAATTAAAAGGTGGAAACTGCCATCAAAGCATCAAGACCTGGGCCATACCTGTGATACAATAAAAACCCCTCTTTTTACAACCCTGTAATCCCTTAATTTGGGATAGAGTTGGTGAACTGGATGGCACTGAGGGTTTACTGGCCAGATGCCCTTCTTGACACCTATACCAAGTTTGCAGCAGATATTTTCTCTCTGCACTTCAGGAGAAAGAAACGTGCTGCTGCCTAGGATTGAACTCTCAACCTTCCTAGTGGGATACGAGCATCTTCACCACTAGGCCACCACCTCACTTAATACCTGGGATATAAGATATTACTGGAATTATTAATTGAAAACAAGCTCAAGTGGGAAGTTTGGACTAAAAAACAAGAAAGATAATGATTATTCACTATGAATTACATCCCTGTATTGACAGTGATCAATTACCTATATCTGCCCTGCAAAAATGGAAGCAGAGGGTTACTGCGAGTCAAACTGCTGAAGAAGAAAAGCATGCATGGTTGATTTCATAAAAGATTGCCAAGAACAAGCATAATTGGAACTTACTGAATGTTCAGGAAACAAAACATGAATATTGAAATAATGTAATAAAAACAAGAACCGACTGCTGGCACTCCATAGTCAATTTCTAGAAAAGATCAAGGGGAAAATGGACAAAAATAAAACCTGGCAATAATTTTCAACTTACAACAAGGAAAGTTATTCTGATTTGTAAAATTTTTTCCCCCCCCCCCCCAAGATCTCAGTCTTGTTAAGCTTTTTGCTTTTTAAGTCAAAATCCTTTAGTATTTTCTCCCTCTTGATTCCAAAACAAAAGCAACTCACTAAGTCTTTATTTTTTCCTACTGTTTGGAAGACCTCCCTTAAATTGAAATTAATTGTAGCCGAAAGCGTTGTAAGAAAATGACGCTTTTGCATATCTGGCATTCATAAAGGCTGCACAGTGGTTTTGAGTGTGATGGTAATTTCTCAGCTCCTAATATGATCACCTCACAGACCCCAGGAGAAACTCAATTCCCAGAGTCTCACTAGGAGCAGCTGTCCAGAGGACAAATGGGCAATCTCTCAATCTACACCTCCAGAGAGAAGTTCATTGGTCAAAAGTTGTTGCCTGGCTGTTGATCTTTCCTGTCCCTCCTGGCATAAATTTATTTATTTATTTAAAACTTTTATATGCCGCCCAATCCCAAAGGACTCGGGCGGCTTACAAA